TAAATTTAGAATAGATCTTCATCTAATCCAGGAACCATTCATCTATGGCTTCTATCCTTTAATAGAATAAACAAAATCTGCATGTGAATCCAGGCAGAACTCCAAGTTCAGCATCATTTCTCACCATTCTCAGAGCTGGTACCTGAAGCTGCAGGTGTGCATTCTCTGCCACACTCTGTAATGGGTGAGTGGAAATTCTTCCGTAAAGCTTTTGTCTATTGGGAGCAGGTGAGTCTAGCAAAGTACAGACAATTTTTTTTTCTGGGGTATCCAGTGGAAAAAATAGAAAAGTATCATTTTTAAAGTACTGAAAGAAAAAAAAGTCAACATGCAACAACTTCATTCTAGCCAGAGAAATTAGTCATTTTAAGAAAATAAGAGACAATCAGACTAGAAAGGAAGACATAAAATAATCTCTAATTACAGTTGACACTTGACATAATCTTGTATACAGAAAATATGAATTCTCACACACATACACATGTACACACACAACTCCACTAGATTTAATAGGCAAGTTCAGCAAGGTACAGAATAAAAGATTAATACCAAAAGCTCTGTTGTGTGTCTATATGTTAGCAATGAGATGAAAATGAAATTAAGAGCAGAATCATGTGAATAATTGCAACAAAATAATAAAATATCTTGGCATAAATTAAACAAACAAACAAAAAAAACCCAGAAAAGACTTGTAGACTGAAAGGTGCAAAATATTGTTGAAATTGAAGACCTAATAGAAAGATACTCTATGTTCATGGATTGGAGGACTTAACATTGTTAAGTGGCAACACTCACTAAATTGATCTATAGATTCATCTCTATCAAAATTTCAAAATTCTAGTTGTAAATTTTTTTTTGGAAATTGACAAAACGAAGTAAAAATTCACATGGAAGGCCCAAATACCAAGATCATCCAAAACAATGTTGTAAAAGTAGAAAAAATGTTGGGTAACTCACACTTCATAATTTCAAAGCTTATTACTAAACTACATTATTCAAAACAGTATGGTTCTGGAACAGGATAAACATATAGATCAATGGAATAGAATTGAGAACCCTCAAATAAATTCATAAATTTGTGGGCAATTAATTTTAGACAAGAGTGCCAGCCAAGACCATTCAATGGGGAAAGAATGGTAAATGGTACTGAGAAAACTATGTATGTATGTGCAAAAGAGTGAAGTTGGATCTTGTCTCATACCATAAACAAAAAATAACTCAAAATGAATTAAAGACTTAAATGTAAAAGCTAAAACTCTTGGAAGAAGGCATAGGTATACATATTTGTGGCCTTGGTGTGTATGTAACCAGCAGCAAATCCATATGGCTCTGCAGTAAACTCAATTCTCGCCTCCTAGGAGGAAAGAATTTGGCCAAGGGACAGAAGTTTAAGGCAGAGGAAAGACCCAGGCAAGTTTTAAAGCAGGAGTAAAGGAAGCAAAGTACGCTTGGAAGAGGGCCAAGCGGGCGACCTGAGAGACCTAAGTACCCTGGTTAGCCCTTGACTTGGGGTTTTACACATCACCATGGTTCTAGGGTTTGTGTTTCTCCTCCTTTGATGCTTTTTCCTTGGGGCAAGCTGTCTGTGTACTCAGTGGCCTGTCAGCACTTGGGAGGGGCTGCTCGTGTAGTGTTCTTACTGGAGTTGTGTGCATGCTCACTTGAGGCATTTTTCCCTCACCAGTGGGGTGTTCATAGAGTCATATGTTAGTTAAACTCCGCCATTTAGCCTCTGTGCACATGCTTGAGCCCACCTGCCCAACTCCAGAGATCTTATCAGGAAGCTGCTGATCACCAGCTCCAGATGTTTTTATCTATGTGGAAATTGTCTTTCCCTGATGCTGACTGTGACCAATTACCATCTTTGAGAGACAGTCACCTGAGCATCACCTGATGATCACCTGACATTCTGGTGTGTGTGTGTGGTGGCTAGGGGGCGCTTCTGTCTTGCCCTGCTCTTATCTGCCTGACTATCTATTCTCACAGGTATATGTGAAGCAGATTTGCTGTGCACTGTTACTAATCCCAGGGAGTTGTGTTAATTTTCCAGAGAGAAATGCATGAAGGATAGCGGAGGTCATCGCCATGCCAACCACCACTTTAGCCCACTGCATCTTGAACTGCAATTTCCATCACTTGCATGATTCATATAACAAGTTGAGCAAAGCAACTGTATTACTCACAGATAGGCAGCAAAAGACAGTAGAAGCTTAGGATTCATGGTGAGTTTGTCTCCCAAGGCTCAGAAAAACTACCCAGCATGGATGGAATCTTGCCTGCATATGCCTCATGTTGCACTGCAACTGAGAGACTCTGAAAATGCACTCTGCCCTGGGTTTTAAATCCAGGGGCTACATTTAATGGGTTAAAGCACTGCAGGACATCCTGTTCCAGGAGAGACAAGAACAGAGGCCAGGATTTTCCTGCCAGTTCCTCTTTATCACAGGATGTGGTATTGCTAGCACATCCTACAGTTATTCTTAAGAACTATAAAAGAGAAAAGGAGGATCCGCATTGCCAAGGCCATCCAGGGACTTATCCTTCAGAATAGGCAGTGACTTCTTAAACATGAAACTCAAAACACAGGCAACCAAAGAAAAAGACAAATTGGACTTAATTTTTTTAAAGTCTGCGCTTCAAAGGACACTTTCAAGAAAGACAACCCCCAAATGGATATATACTTGCAAATCATATATCTCACAGAGAATTGTATCAAGGATATAAAAGAACTCTCACAACTCAATAATAAAAAGACAAATAACCTAATTTAAAAATGAGAAAGGATCTAAACATGTCTCCAACAAATATCTGCAAATGGCCAAAAAATACATGACAGATGCTCAGCATCATTAGTTGTTGGTGAAATGCAAATCAAAATCACAATGAGATACCACTTCACACCCAGTAGACTGTAATAAAGATACCCAGACAATAACAGGTGTAGGTATAGATGTGAGGAAATTGGGATCCTCAAGAATTGCCGGTGCCGTTGTGTAAAACAGTCTCCAGCAGTTACTTGAAAGTTAAACATAGAATGGCTGTGTAACCCAGCCATTCCTCTCCTAGGTATACCCCCAAGACAATAAAAAATATATTCACATAAAAAATTTATACACACATTTCAAACAGTATTATTCATATTAGTCAAAAAGTAAAAATATCCATCAATTGATGAGTGGATTAACTAGATTTATAAAATAAAACTGGTCATAAAAAGGAACAAAGCATTGATACATGCTATACCATGGATGAACATTGAAAAGCTATACAAAGCAAAGAAGGCAGGCACAAAGGGGCACATATTGTTGGACTTCATTTATATAAAATGTCTAGAGTAGACTGGGTGCAGTGACTCACGCCTGTAATCCCAGCACTTTGGGAGGCTGAGGCGGGTGGATCACGAGGTCATCCTAGCCAACATGGTGAAACCCTGTCTCTACTAAAAATACAAAAATTAGCTGGGCGTGGTGGTGCACGCCTGTAGTCCCAGTTACTTGGGAGGCTGAGGCAGGAGAATCACTTGAACTCGGGAGGCAGAGGTTGCAGTGAGCCAAGATCGCACCACTGCACTCCAGCCTGGAAATAGAGCAAGACTCTGTCTCAAAAAAAAAAAAAAAAAAAAAGAAGTCTAAAATAGGCAAATCCTTAAAGACAGAAAATAGAGTAATGATTGCCATGGGCTGTGGGAAGGCACAAATTTGAAATGACATCTAATGACAAAGAATTTCTTTCTGGGGTGATAGAAATATTCTGGAATTTATGGTGATGGTTGCAGCTTTATGAATATACTAAAAACCACTGAATTATATATTTGAAAGGGTGGATGTTATGGCATGTAAATTATATTTCAATTTTTAAAAAAATGTTGACACCTCAACATGAAAATATTGAAAATTACAGCTCCAACATCAGAAAAAAGACTATATTTTTGGATCTCTAAGATCCTGATATGAGTAAGACCATGAGTCATTATTATCTGGACACTAAACGTTAACATGATCTTATTTATTAGCCAAAGTGTGGAGGGTCCTAGAGGTACAAGTCACACACCTAACTCCTCTGGGGTGCCTATCCAATGGAGTGAGATTGTGCCTTCCTTCCTGTGTCTTTCTTTCACTATGCCTGGGACAAAGTAGACTTTCACATAATTTTTATTCAATGTTACAGGATAAGAAAGGACACAAAAATGGGAGGAAGGGGCTGGGCGCAGTGGCTCACGCCTGTAATCCCAGCACTTTGGGAGGCCGAGGTGGGCAGATCATGAAGTCAGGAGATGAAGACCATCCTGGCTAACATGGTGAAACCCCGTCCCTATTAAAAATTAGGCAGGCATGGTGGCAGACACCTCTAGTCCCAGGTACTTGGGAGGCTGAGGCAGGAGAATGGGGTGAACCTGGGAGGTGGAGCTTGCAGTGAGCCGAGATAGCGCCACTGCACTCTGGGCAACAGAGCTAGACTCCGTCTCAAAAAAAAAAAAAAAAAAAAGGAGGAAGGAAGATCTCTCAAACACAGGCATCCCATGCATGACTACAGAATAAGGAGACCTGATAGGTATGCAGAAGAAGGGGACCTGAAGTCAGAGAGGGAAGTTTTTCTAGGGTTTGCTCTTTGAATTACTTATATCGAAAATTCAAGTGGAATAAGCAAAGGTGACAGAAGTGAATTACAAATCTTAAAGTTCCCTCAAAATGCTTGAAACCATCCCTTAGATGACGTGTGGGAGCAAAAAAGCAAACTGAAACAATGTCAAATCATTGTGTCTCTAATTTTCCCTCCAGCAGTGTTGGTGTCCACTTCCCTGTCTCTTAGTGGGCGCATCTACATATCACCTCTGTCAATACCTCTACTCAGCAACAGCGAGAAAATAGAAAGATGATATGAGTCAATAAAAAAAAAATAAAGGAACAAAAAATAAGAATAGTGGAGAGATCAGCTACTTGGGAAGCTGAGGTGGGAGGATTTGTTTGAGCCCAGGAATTTGGAACCAGCCTGGGCAAACAGCAAGACCCCATTTGTGGAAAAAATAAAAATAAAAGTATACGTGATCTGGGTATGGTGGCCTGTAGTCCGTAAGATCTACCATTTAACTGACATACAAGATTGGTTCTAGAAACCACAGGACCCACTGGAAATGTGACCTCACAGGAAGATGCGTCTTGTAGGCGGCAGCTGTGAGGTCTGGTTCCCCCACGTGCTGCAGCAACTGCCTTCCAGGCTCTGCCTGCGGGCTCCCTCCATGCCCAACTCTGCCATGGACACCAGAGTCCTCTCCTGTGTGGTCATCTGTCTTCTGGGGACAGGTGAGTTTTGAACTAAAGGATCACCATCACTGGGCTTCATTTTGGGCTCTACAGCAGAGTCTCAAATATACCCTGGACCTCTGTGTTGACCAAAGATTTTGTGAAAGGTATTGACATTTATATGAAAACAAATAATTGCATTATGGAGTAAAAAGCAAAATTCATGTGAATTTTTAAAGGAACGCAGGAGACTTCAAACAGGTTCCTTCACTGTAAGATATTCATCCTTCTGCCATTACAACTCTGTCTCATGCAGTCTCTTCTCCTCTGAGGTCTCTCAAATGCTAGCATCACACAGAACCCAAGACACCTGGTCAGGAGGAGGGGACAGGAGGCAAGACTGAGATGCAGCCCAATGAAAGGACATAGTCATGTTTATTGGTATCGGCAGCTCCCAGAGGAAGGTCTGAAATTCATGGTTTATCTCCAGGAAGAAAAAAATCATAGATGAGTCAGGAATGCCAAAGGAACGGTTTTCTGCTGAATTTCCCAAAGAAGGCCCCAGCATCTTGAGGATCCAGCAGGCAGAGCAAGAAGACTCAGCAGCTTATTTCTGTGCCAGCTCACCACCCACATCAATGCAGAGCCACAGCCTTTCAGTCCATAAACATCCTCCAGACCTGCCTTGGAAACAGCGGTGGGCTGGGAAGGGAAACGTGTTACCGGTACAGTGAACAGGTCAGCTCTAAGGCATTCTGCAAGTTGAGGATGGAAATAGGGGAGGATTGTAGGGATAGCATGAAACATCCCAGGCTATGCTCAGAAACTAAGACTCTGTCATCCAAAGGACATAAAGATTTTTAAGAACTAGACATAATTTTTCAGTTTTGACATTGACTTAATTTGTCAGTTTCAAAACACTTAGCAGTGTAACTCTTTTTTTATTCCATACTGTATGTCAAGTTCTATATTTCATGCTTTACATCAGTAATTTTATTTAATCACCAAGATACACAACCTAAGGAAGTGCTTTCTTCATTTTCACCAAGAGAAATTATGGTTCTAGGAGTGAATTTCTAGAAAGAAAGAGACAGAGAGATGGGGGAATAAAGGGGAAGGGAGGGGGAAGGGGGAGGGGAGGGGAGGGGAGGGGAGGGAAGGGAAGGGAAGGGAAGGGAAGGGAAGGGAAGGGAAGGGAAGGGAAGGGAAGGGAGGAGGAAACCTAGAAGGTGACAGAAAGCATTTGGCTCAAAGGGTTATGATTTTTATCTCACATCATGCTGCTTAGCATTCTTGAAAGCATAATCCTTGTTCTGTTCATGGCCGAGTACCTGTGCAGGTTTGTACAGATGCTAGGTTCAAGAATTCCTGCTATAAAATTATAGAACATCTGAGAGATGATGGAAATAGAGTTGGATAAATTTGTCTAGAATTTAGGGAAAAGGTCTGGCCCACAGATATTGTTCATTAGAAATCTGTCACCTCAACTTTTTGTCTTAGTTAATATTTGTTTTTATTCTCATCACTCAACAGATATAAGCCACCTACAGAAAAAGATTTGTTATAATTTGCTTTGATGAAACAATTTCATAAAATGAAAAGGCAGACAAAAGCAAAGTCATTTCAAATACATGTGCAGGCTAAGCCCAGCCTCACCAGCGTGGAGTATAAACCATGTGACTCCACTGCATGTCTTTGCCCTTCGATTTTCTAAAATCATTTAATGTATTCCCGCCCCTCCCTCACTTCACCCAAAAGGAGAAAAACCCAGAACATCTTCCAGGAAGACAGAAGAGGGACACTGGCTGGGGAGCCTGAGAAAGATCCAGAGAGATCTCCAGAAAAAGACCAACGCTGAGACCCCAGCAAGGCTGCAGAGAAGATGGATTCCAAACTTCATGCCATTTAAAACACCAGACATGTAATTTAAACGAACAGTCTTCCAAAGGCAGTGCTTTACAGGGAGGGGGAAAAAAGGCAAAGAGGTAGAAAGAGGGTCTTCTGGCAATTCAATAGTGAGTAGAAAAAGAGAAAAAGGGGGGAAACTGAGAATTCTGCAAAACAAAAGGAAATCACAGATTAAGAGGACCCACAACCAGCCCCACTACAAAAACAAACAAAGCTCACGAAGGAGTCTGGATTTTGCTAGGATGATGGCTAAAGGAACGTTAGACTAGGAGTTTTGTAAAACACCCCAATAACACGAAAATGAGCAAGATGAAAGTAACACCCATACAACAAAGGCAAACATCTCACCTCTGTTCCCTGTTCCCTTACCTCAAAAGCAATCAGGAGGCAGAAGAAAACATAAGTCTACACTCCAAACAGAAATAAATACACTCAAGAAAGCAGCTGAGGATATAAGTGACCATAACCAGACCAGCAGTTCAAAAACTCAGACCAGAAATGGCCAAAATGGGAAGACATCAGAAAAAGAAATTGATTGAACTCAGGAGGGACATGAACGAAAAAGACAAAATTATCCCAGTCATGAAAAATAAATTAAAAGATGACCAAGGGAGAATAAACCCAAATGAAAATTTAGTCAGGACAAAGGCAAAGACAAAGAAACAAGTCGGAGAATGAGAAGGACGTGAGTGAAACCAGCCAGTTAGAAGGTAGAAGGTGGTCAAAGGAGGCGAGGTCTTGGTGTGATTGCATGAAGGACCTGGAACAGCAGCGCTGGGCTCTGTGCAGTAGGATGGCTAAGCAAAAGGCTGTCACAGTGGCCACAGCACCACTGGCCAGACCCCAGGGGTCACTCTTTTCCCAAGAGAGCTGAGGGCATAAACAATGATAAGTTCTCCAGAGGATGGACTTCCTGCATACCCTGAGTTCATCATTACACATTCTATGCATGTAACAAAATACCACAGTTACCCACAAATAGGTACACACATTATGTATCAATGTTTTGTTTTGTTTTAATTTTTTATTTTTTTTAAAAAAGGAAAAATAAATGAATTCCACATTCTTGTATAATCAGAGTGTCTACAGCGCTCCTAGAGGAACCCAAACCTTATGGTCGCTGGAAAGATAAAAACCAATGGGCCAATTGGAGTGAAACTCTGGCCCGGAAACGTGGGGGGCCAGCCCCCTCAGCACAGATGCAACGCAGAGTTATGGGAGGTGCCAACGACTCTGCTCTCTGTCCTGTCTCCTCATCTGCAAAATTAGAAAGCCTGTCTTGAGTATTTCCAGGAACCTCCCACCTCTTGGTTCCAGCCACCGACAAACTCTGCACATAAGGCCAGGAGAAGTCCCAGAACCAAGCCTCTTTTCTCATTCTCTTCCCACAAGTGCTTGGAGCTACAAGGAGGCCCCCTTTCCACTATGGGCAACCAGGTGCTCTGCTGTGTGGTCCTTTGTCTTCTCGGAGCAAGTGAGCCCTGGGTTCAGGGAGAAAATTCCTATCTGGAATGCTGCAAGTTCCAAATCTAAGGCTTCCCTGAGGGACAGCAGCATCAGGCACCTCCGTGCGCTGTACTTCAGGCATGCCTCTCTTTCTTTTCCAGACACCGTGGATGGCGGAATCACTCAGTCCCCAAAGTTCCTGTTCAGAAAGGAAGGACAGAATGTGACCCTGAGTTGTGAACAGAATTTGAACCACGATGTCATGTACTGGTACCGACAGGACCCAGGTCAAGGACTGAGATTGATCTACTACTCACAGATAGTAAATGACATTCAGAAAGGAGACATAGCTGAAGGATACAGTGTGTCTCGGGAGAGGAAGCAATCCTTTCCTCTCACTGTGACATCAGCCCAAAGGAACCCAACAGCTTTCTATCTCTGTGCCAGTAGTATAGACACAGTGAAGCGCGGACGTCGCCTCTCTGTGCATAAATGTGCCCAGTCCTGCTTCCCCGACCAGGTGGCGGGGCTCCTCTGCACTGTGTGACGACAGGAAACGTCACTCAGCCACTAAGTAGGTTTAAAAAACTATATATATATATATATATATATATATATATATATAAAAACTATATATATATAACTAAAAAATATATATAAACTATATATAAAACTAAAACTATATATAAATATATATAGATTTTAAAAACTATATATATAACTAAAAAATATATAAACTATATGTCAAACCAAAACTATATATAAATATATATAACTAAACTTTATATATGAGACTAAAATGACAGTTTTATACAGTTTTTTAAACTATAGTTTTGTATATATATAACTATATATATATATATATCATTTTTTAAACTATAGTTTTGTAGTTTTATTTATTTATTTACTTATTGGAGACAGAGTCTTACTCTGTTGCCCAGGCTGCGGTGCAGTGGCATGATCTCAGCTCACTGCAATCTCTGCCTCCCGGGTTCAAGCAATTTTCCTGCCTCAGCCTCCCAAGTAGCTGGGATTACAGATGCACACCACTGTACCTGGCTAATTTCTGTATTTTAGTAGAGGCAGGGTTTCACCATGTTGGCCAGGATGGTCTCAAACTCCTGACCTCAGCTGATCCACCCACCTCGGCCTCCCAAAGTGCTGGGATCACAGGCATGAGTCACCGTGCCTGGCTGTTTTATAGTTTTATACAGTTATTTTTAAAAACTAGAAATATAATAGTTTTTTAAACCCACTTATTGGCTGAGTGAAGTTTCCTGCCATATATGATATAGATATAGATATGTTATAGATATGATATATTGATATGTTTTATTTATGTTATGTGTTGTATATAAGATATATACATGTATATATAGAGAGAGTCAGAGAGACACAGAGAAGAAAGAAGAGAAAAGTTAATCTTACAACCCCAAGCTTTTTTCTGTTTTACTGAATTCTAGATGAATAGAGGAATGAATGAATAGAAATGAATGAATGAATAGAAAATTTTCCCTTCTTTCAGGAAGATAAAAAAGGCTGTGGAAAGAGAGATGTAGAAGACAAACCCTGTAATCACCATTTCATATGACGCATGCTTTAATGAGAGACGTTAGTGGAGTATAGGAAATAACATAGCCAATTCTGTCTGGTGACATCAGGAAGGGCGTCAAAGAGAAAGCAAATTTTCGGATGAAACTTATTATTCAAATTTCACCAGATGGGCAAGTAGGATTTCACCAGATGGGCAAGCACCAAAAGAGGGAGGCAGGCTAAGGGAACTATGAAAGGAAAGAGTGATGAGATAACACCAGGAAAAAAAATATCAACACTCCCTCCTCCACCGGAATATGGCAATGGAAGAAAATTTGGACAAATGAATGGAGTCAAGTTATTGAACAAAATTGAGTTTCTGGTTCTAGTGTTCCTTCATTGGACATCTGTGTAGAAACATTCAAGAGGCTCCATAAGTGCGGGTCTGGCACTTAGAGGAGAGGGTCGGGCTGGAGAGAAATGTTTGAGTGATAGATAAGCACACAGGTGTGAATAAAACTTCCCAAGAGATCTTGTTTTCTATGTTTTCTCTCTTTATGCTCTGCCACCTATGCATTGAATTAGAAGGTAAGTGGTGTTAATTCTTATGTTGACTTACAAATGTTTATTTGATCATATAATTATGCTTCTAGAAATTGATGTTTCTATATTATTCTTCAGATACAACTGAAACTGCTGGTTGAAAACTTTTTAAAAATATTGTCAGAAGCATCAAATAACCTTAGTCTGTCCTGCTGTATTGTTCTCTTTTTCCAGGGATAAGAAATTTTTAGAAAAATATAAGTGCCTGTCCAGAATACACAAGACTTGGCTGCACGAATTTTCTTCGAATTATTGCCTGGATTCTGTGTTTAGCCTTGGATTTCTTCTTCTACATAGCCTATGGGAGTTTGACTCACACAGTCTCTCACAGAAACCAAAATACTAAAACATAGAGATGGAAAAGATATTTCTCCCTGAATAGGATCTAAAGAACATTAAAATATGGTAGCATGAGAACTACAAGCAGTCATTGAAACTAATGCTTTCTGACAGTAGTAAGTAAAACACTGGAAATGAGATGACTCTAAGATACCTCACTTTGAATGTCCAGACCATATTCACAGATACCTCCACATCAGTCATTCTCTGAGCCAGAGGATGGAGCTAGGGACTTCATGGCAGTGGCAGAGACACAGACCCATAGTGTTATCTGTGCTCTATGTACAAGCCATTCTCCAGAGGTGATGGGATGGGGAAAGACTGTCTGTCCAAGGGAAGGAAGAAAATGAAAGGGAAGACAGTAAGAGATAGACAATCTTGTTTCTCCTTGTTTTTCTTGTCCGTGACTAGAATGAACACAAATTCCTTTCTTTCAGTTGAGGAATTTATTAAAGCAGAGCATAAGAACTTAAATGGACTTCAAAAATTCTACTGTAAAACTATTAACCATTTGCTTTTTTCAGGGTAATCTTAATACTGAAAAGAATGCTGTAGCTATGAAGTTTCATCATAACCTTCATTCCCAGAACCAGGTTGTAAGAGAGATATCATCTGAAGTAAAAGACAGGAAAGTTTTAAAATGTAAAATATCACTGAATGTTTTCTTAGCAAGTTTTGAGAGGCCACCACATCTATTAAACAGAAAGATAATTTACATAAAATTTTAATCTAGAACTATTTCTTTAACATAATAAACATAATTGCTCAATTTAAAATCACATTGAACATAACCAACAGTAAATTAGACAAGTCAGAAAACCAATTTGTCAACTCTATAAAAATTCAAGAAATAGTCCAGAATTCTTAGGAAGCAGAAAGATATTTAACATGTGAGAAAAAGGTATTACCACAATAGCAGCTTTATTCCCAATGGCCCCAAATTGGAAAATATTCAACATCCATCAACAATGCAATAGATAAATGATTGTGTTACAGTTATGTAACAGAATACAATATAGCAAAAAATGTAATTTCCAACACAGATATTTTAAATATAAGATTAAATAAAATATAGTAGACACAAAATTATACGGTATGTAGTCAGAATAGTGATTAATTTGGTAGCATTATGTATTTACTCTGAGGGAGACATGAGGAAGGCTTTTGGAATTCTGAATTCTATATCTTGATCTGGGTGATGATTATACGAGTATATTCATTTCAAAAATTCATTTGGCTGAACACTTAAGATTTGTGCAGTCTATGTATTTTATACCTCACTTAGAAAGCTTAGAATGTAATGACAAGTATCTTACTTGACAAACGATCTGTTGCTGTGTAACAAACCACTCCAAAAGTTAGTGATTTAAAGGAACAACATATTATTATCTCTTGTGGTTATGTAAAAGGGCACAGCTGGACAGTTCTCACTTAGGGCTGCTCACATAGTCACTGTCAGTCACTGAGGCTGGAGATATCTGAAGGCTCAACTAGGCTGGATATCCAAGGTGGCTTTTGTGTGCCCCTGTTGGTTCGTTACCTGGGATGGCTGCAGTAGCTGTGGACCCGCTGAGCATGTCCCTCTGTACACAGCCTTCGATGTGATTAGATGCACTGTCTCACAGCATGGTGGCCTCTAGGCAGCTAAAGTTTTTGCATGGTAGTTGTACCCTAAGAGCGAGCATTCAAGAGACCCAGATGTGGTCAGCTAGGCTTCTTACAGCCCAACCTGGGAAATATGCAGTGTCACCTCCACCACAATCCAGCCAGCTCGGATTCCAGAGTGTGTTCCATCAGGCTGGTATCTTTGAAGACCAGATACCACACCACAGTCATTTGAATTTGTGTCGTTACTTGGTACTCTTAGTTTTTCCCTGCTGCTCTTTATGCATTGGAGTCCTTTTGGGATGACATCAATAAAACTATTTCATGTTTTTAAGATTGTATTTGTCTAGTATTTCTTTTTCAACCTTTCTACATGTAGCCTTTTTGTTGTTTTTATTCTTCAGGTGGGTATTTCATAAGCAGTGTGTATTTTTTCAGCCTCATGATTTATACAACTAGAATCCTCAGTCTATTGTCTTAAACGTTTTTCTGTATAGCTTTCTATAGCAGGTGATTTCCTGGGTTTTGACTTATGTTTCTTATTTGGTTTTGTACATTAATTTTTCTCACATTTTGGTTTCTTCTTCCCTCATGCATGACCTTATTTTTGTTGACTATTTTTCTCATTTCATTATTTTGTCTTTCAGAAGTCCACAATTCATTTTCACTTTTTGATGATTAACTGTAACATTTTATTATATAATTATATTAAGAAAATCTCAGATTAGTCTTATCTTTACCCTTCTCCTGAAGCCTATGTGAACTTTAGAACAATTAACACCTATGGTTCCCTTCATGATTTCCAATATTTTGGATAGTCAGAATGTTAGATCTGTCTAACTATAATAACTAGAAGTATTATTGTTTTATTTTTACCAATACTTAATTACAACTACCTACCTATGTGTTAACCATCATCTTTACCCGTCATTGTTTTTGCACAAAACTTTAGTATACCAACTCAGAGCAGAAAGAGGATCCATCATATTCTGTGTCTGCCCTATTAAGCATGCTTCTTTCTTGCATGGCCTTTGCTTCCTGGTAGCAGATTTAACCCAGGCAAAGATGTAGAGCCCTATTATGGGCTATCAGACCCCAATACCAAGGCTTTTCTTGTGCCACAGCCCTTTGATCGCAGGCCACCGACTCTAACTTCTATCTCCTTTTCCAACAGTTTTCATGGATACTGAAGTCCCCCAGACACTAAGAAAATTGGTGACATTGACTAATTTTAAGAGATGGCATTGCAGTAGTCTCAGAAAATGAAAAGTCAGAGCACATACTAGCTATTGACAACGTATGGCTTGGCCTATGGCAAACCCATGACACAAATGGAAGTGTCAGGGAAGAAAAACCACCATGAGCATTAAGGAACAAAAGAGGATAGTATAGGAATTAGGCCTGACACAATTTGGGGAGAAGATGGATAAGTGAAAGTTTGAAAAGGGTCAGAAAAAACAACTCTAACGAGCTCTGGTGAAGGTGGATGAACTGGACTTTGCATTAAGTTTTGCATTAAGTTGGGTATATCCATGTACTACACGGAACCCTGAAGGGGATGGTGTAGGAATTTATGGAAGATGGCTGACTCTATGTGCCAACAGCCCTGTGAGTTCTCAGAAAAGTTTGGTGATGGGACTGCAGTCCCTCCTGGTCAGCAGAGATGGCAGTCAGTATAAAGAGCTGGATGTGAAGCAGGGGAAAGTCAGCATAAATTGGAACTCACTGGCACTTTTGATGCTACTTCTCACTGCCTGGAGCCAGTGATGACATCATAACTCAGTGGCAGCTGTTTTACTTTCCCCTTACGAACTTCATGCATTTCTTCCCCCATGATCAACTCTAACCTGGAACCATACTAGGAAAAAGTTATCTGAAACACATTCCTTGCTTAGCCAGGTTGACACAGTGATAAAACACCACAGGAATATCCAGATGCTCCTTGACTTGCAGTGGGGTAATATCTCAATAAATCCAGCATAAATTGAAAACATCATAATTCAACTTACAATATCCAGCTTATCTGTACATAACCCCATCATAAGTCAAGGAGCACACTGAAATGCATATTGCTTTAGCACCACTGTAAAGTTGAAAAGTCATTAAACCATCATGAGACCATCTGTACCTGACAATTAGTGTTTCTCAAAATAAATAGATTTTCTTCTGATCTGAAGGTCTTCCAGCCACTCTCTCCCAGACATATCATAATATTGGGCCAGAGGTCACCCATTGCAAGCTGTCCTTACTCTTTGCAGAAAAAGTAGTTAGCACTATGAAGTGACCTCATTTTAATGAGATCCAACATACCCAGGAAATAAAAAATGCAGCCACAGGAGCATACAGATGCCCTTCAGTAGATATGTCAATATTAACATAATGCAATAGCTATATTTGTTATGATAAAACGATTCCACAATTGCACAAACATAATATGATGGGCGAAGTCTTAATCTTATCTTTTCTAGCTACCTATGCCAGAGAAGAACTAAATATTAAATGAAAGCATAATTGGGAGGCTGTTATAAAAATGAAAACATAGGGCTTTCAATATAACTTTCCAGCTCCTTGTAATTGCTACACATTTCCAACGTCGATCCATTAAAACAAGTATCCCAGCATGTTCAAATCAAAGAATTTCTTATGCCTCCTAGAAACTATTTTCACTGCCCAGTACGTAGTATGATCTCCATTACAATAGAATAAATGTAATTATTCTCACAATCACAAAGTGATTAACATGGAAACATAGAAGCTAAATCGAGAAATAATATTAGAATGTTTAGAATTGAGTCCATCTATATATGAGGGAAATTGTTATGAGATACTCATGAGGTAACTGTCTCATTTAGAAAATGATGAAGTGGCTTCATCATGATTATGAAGAAACATTGGACTTCCAGCTGAGGCACTGGCCTGGGCGTTATCAATATTTATGGCAGTTCCAACCTGAAGGTCTAGTGATTAACCACCACGAGTTGTCTTGGTGTGATTACTTTGAGGATATGAAACAGAAGCAGCAAACAGATTCCAATGCCATTCATTACCCAAACATACACTCATTTCCTTATAAGAAACTCACTTAAGTCATTGCAATAGCTCAGTGTATCTGTAATAAATTTAGAAGTTGATTTGGGAAATCTTTAGGCCACTTTGGGCAATGTATGAGTTTTTGTTTTGTTTTGAGACGCAGTCTCATTCTATCACTCAGGCTGGAGTGCAGTGGTGCGATCTCTGCTCACTGCAACCTCCGCCTCCCGGGTTCAAGCAATTCTCTACCTCAGCCTCCCAAGTAGCTGGGATTACAGGCACCTGCCGCCACACCTGGCTAATTTTTGTGTTTTTAGTAGAGACGGGGTTTCACCATGTTGGCCAGGTTGGTCTTGAACTCCTAACCTTGTGATCCACCCACCTCTGGCTCCCAAAGTGCTGGAATTACAAGCGTGAGCCCCCGAGCCTGACTTGTATGGTTCTTTGATAGGCAGAGAGATGGATGTAACACTGGTCATGGGCAAAGATTACCACCAGGGGGCAGACTAGAGCATCCTTGAGATTCTGTGATCAGTCATCCCTCCTCGCTGGTGAATGGAGACAGTGGTCACAACTCTCCCCGAAGAAGGCGGTGTGGGTCCATCACCGAAGATGCTGTTGCTTCTGCTGCTTCTGGGGACAGGTATGAGCCTCCTTCTACCTGGGAGCTTCGGTGGGCATGTGTGTGTGTTGGCATGGTCAAGTGGTGGCCAGGCAATGTGGATTGTTTATGCTCATCAAAGGGAGAGGGAGCGGCTCTGCTCTCTAGAGGTGTAAACGGTAAGGTGAGAGCCACCGGTCAGAGGAGATGGGGGATTATGGCCCTAGGGAGATGACAGAAAGATTGCACAAAACAAACAGATTCTCCAGGAGCTGGGAGCACAGGGAGGGAGTGAGGCTCAGCTCTGCCTGTCATCCTGTCTGACTCGGGTCCTACTGGGCTCTCCTCTCTCTGGCTTCTGTTTTCAGCAGGCTCCGGGCTTGCTGCTGTCGTCTTTCAATATCCGAGCAGGGTTATCTGTAAGACAGGAACCTCTGTGAAGATCGAGTGCCGTTGCCTGGACTTTCAGGCCACAACTATGTTTTGGTATCGTCAGTTCCAGAAACAGAGCCTCATACTCATGGCAACTTCCAATGAGGGCTCCAGTGTCACATACGAGCAAGGCATCAAGCGGGATAAGTTTCCCATCAACCATCCAAACCTCACCTTCTCCACTCTGACAGTGACCAATGCCCATCCTGAAGACAGCAGCTTCTACATCTGCAGTGCTAGAGACACAGCACCAGGAAGGGATCAGAGACCGTGGCAAGAACCCCCTGCAGCTGGGCCTCTGCCCCAGCAGGGCCCCTGAGTGCTGAGAGGTGAGGCGTGGAGATGGAAAACCACAGCTTTCCTGACTGAGACATCTGGGTGTGTGTGTAGGGGGTGTGTGTGTGACATTTGGGTGTGTGTGTGTAGGGGGTGGGGCGGGGTGGGGGGAGAGAAAGAAAAGAAGCCCTGTGAGTGTGGAGAGTGGAGGAGCTGTAGTGTTTGAGACCCATGAAATGGCCATAGAGTTGGGCCTAAAGTGGTCAGTGGACATGGAAGCTTCCCTGAAAATTATAAAACCTGGAATTTTGCCCTGACTCTGCCACATTAGTCATGTGCTCTTGAATAGATCTACACACAATCCTAGAGGTGGATATGAAGACAGTTGTATAATCACTGTGTATTTCCTATAATAAACTTCAGCGATTGGCTTTCTTGTCATCATGCTGGGCTCTCAAGACAAAGATAACCAAGAGGCAGCCAAGTAGACAGTTATGCATGAGTACGTTACCTTAGGGGAGGACGGCAACAGCACTGAATAGCACCCACTTCAAATTTGTGTTCAGTCCTCCTTGGACCAGGACCACCAAAATAAAATCCTATCACATTTCCTGTAAATGTTGAATGCCATCATGTTCTCCATATTGTTTCGGTTGATGAATGAACACAGTAAGACTCGGCACAAAGGAAGGAGAGCACCCTCTATGCCTAGGTACACACGATATGGAATGTATCCCTAGGGAAGGTGCTGGTGAGCTGGCTTCTGGGAAAGCTGTCAAGGGGAAGAGCGGGCAGAGGTACCTAGAAGGAAGATCTCAGACAACATGGCTTGTCTACAGAGTTGGAAAGTTCTGCCAGTAGCTAGAAGACAGTAAGTGGAACAGTGAAAATCCTTCCCTGGGAGAAACCAAATATTTACATTGACCACAAATCTGTATGAGCCAATAGAAAATGAGCAAAACATGATCATACATTTAATAGAAGAAACATGTATGACCAATAAACATATAGAGATATTTTACTGCATTGATGATCAGGATAATATGAAGCAAGACATAGTGATACATAGCCTTATATCCACTTGATTAGCAAAATATAAAAAGTTTAGAAATATAAAATGTTAGCGAGGGTATGGATTCATAGGATTACTTATAAATTACTGATGGGAGCATAAGTACTATAAACCATTTGGAAACAGTTCAGCATCATCTCATAGTTGAAGATTTCTATGTCCCATGACTCAGCAATTCCACTCCTAGATTTACATCAGGAGAGGCTCTTGCATACATGACTCAGCAATTCCACTCCTAGATTTACTTCAGGAGAAGCTCTTGCATACACATATCAGAAGATATAAATACAAAAGTGTTCTTAACAGCACCAAACAGTAGAAAAACATGGCACCAAGCCACACATGCACCGAGAAGAGTGAATGAATAAACTGTGGCATATTCATATGAGTCAAAATGAATGAACTATAGTGAAGAGCAAGGTTATAGGTGAATCTTAGCAATATAATAGCAAATGAAAAATCTAAGTCTAATGAGACTATGCAAAGCCTAATGTGCTTTTCATAAAGCTAAAAACAAATAAGTCAAGAAAATAATTTTCAGGAATAAAATATCTTAGGTCAAATTTTATTGAAAGGAAAGCAAAGACCAGTCGTATGCTGGAGCCTATCTTATCAGCTCATGGGAGCTGACTGTACACATTTTTCCCAACTCCAGTTTTAGTGACATCATTTTGTTAGCTTGAAACTGGCAATAGTGAGGGTATTTACACTATAGAAATCAGCAAACACAATAAATTACAGTTTTGCTTTATTTTCCTCCAAAGAGTTAGTTGTCAACCCTTTACCAACACACTATTGGCAGGGAATAATAGTGACCCAAGTTCAGGATTTTTATAAGGCTGGGGCATGGCAGGAGATAGAATGAGAGAGAACTACATAGCTATACATTTAAATATTGTCAAGGTCTGTCTTGCATAATGTTGAGGAGGAGATGTTTTACAAGTTCCTATTATATTTTTAAATAAATAAATAACTATTCATTGACAAGCAATGCCTATGTGTTATGAACCACAGGTTAAGATAAATAAAATTGTATGCATATAGAATCAAAAAGAAGAGAAAACAAATAAATGAACAGATTAGAGTTCTTACAAGAAAAGGATCAAGAGCATTTTATAGTCAAAACCAGGAGTGAAATAGCAGTGGCTCAACTGCTACCATCCTTATACAGACATCGGCTGCTGAATTAATCACGGCGGACAACCTGCTACCCAACAGACCTGGACCCTTGTCAACCCCTTTGCAACAGAGAGCAAGGGTTTAGACACTAAGGGTGAATGTGAAAACATGGAGATGACACCTGGCCCCTGACCAAGGTGGAACTGACTGGAATAAGATGGGAGCCAAGTCCGCAGTGCACACGCTGCTGTTTTTCATCTCCGCTATGACCATGTGTTGCTGGTGGTTAAATACCCTACCTGGGTTCAGTCACCTCAGACTGTGCCATTGTCACTGAACTCACGGACCCATTTTAGTTGTAGCCTTTTACTCTGTTAGTGTTTTCAGCCTGGAGAACAGAGCTAGTAAAATACTTTAAAAATATTCCACTGCTTACTAATGGCATGGAAAAGACAAGAGCTTTTAAGGCTCTGGCATGAAACACGGAGACAGTGGTTACATTCCTATTTCATGCGGTCACTATTTCCCTCTGCATTAAGCTAAGGAGTGTAGTGTTTCAGTGACATTTAGCATGGAACAGTGCTGGGTTCAGAGATGCGTTTCCCAAACCAGCTGGCTATCAAGGACACAGCCTACTGCCTACCTACATGACCTTAGGAAAGAAGACAACAGCGTTGAACAGCATTCAGTCCAAATTTGTGTTCTGTCTTCCTTGGACAAGTACCAACAAAATAAAATCCTATCACATTTCCTGTAAATTTTGAATACCATACATTTTTGATGAGCAATTATTTTTGAAGTGTTGGACTTCCTGTTCTGATTTAATATTCTACTCTCTGGGCTTTGTTGTATTTGAAATCAAGTTCGCCTTTCAGAGGCAGTGATGAGTGAGGTAAGAGACAGATGCTTACATCCTCCTGCCCGATACACACACACACACACACACACACACACACACACACACACACACACAGAAGCACTGTGTTCCCCAGTAATGGAGAAGCCATGGGGAGAATTTCAGAGGTTTCAAAGGAGCTAGGGTTTTCTAATTCCTCTATATCCTTGGATATCCCCATTCTTAATGTCAAAAACAATCTCTGGAGCTGGTTTCCAGGAGTCTGAACCCATTTGCTACAGTACATGTATCATCTCAGGTGTCCAAGGGTGAATGTTTGATTAGCTACTTCACAACTTCATACCACTGCTGCTGTTTTACCATTCTGGAATGTGGAAAGCAGCGTGACTCCTATTAACTGACCAGTAGTCAATTTCAACTACCCATAAATATGTGAGTGTCTTTTATCTGTAATCTCCTATCTGGTGCCATTTTTGAAAAGCAGTTAAGACTCTTTTATTCTAAAAAATGAACTATGTCTCACTTCTTGAAAGTAATTATTGATGAAATGCTCCCTGGAGAGTCTGAAGCCCCTGATATTGCATATTTAATGGTTATCCACCTTTTAATAAAAGGTATGGGGATAAATTTTAAATATTAGTCCTAAATACCTTACATCAAGATGAGCTAGAGTTAATTAAGTGGGACGAGAGATAATGAGTTCAAGGGCATTTAAGAAAGATTAAAGAACCAGTGCAAATGTTTTAATCAGGAAATAAATTGGTGTGTTTAATGACAGGAAAGAAGTCAGCAGCGTGGCAGCAGCAGGGGGAGGAGGCGGTTGAGTACAGAGCAAAATTGAAGAAGGCAGGAAGGCATCAGACCACTCACAACCTTACTGGTCAAGGTAAATGATACAGAATCCAACATAAAGCTTAACAGGAGACATTGAGGTTTTCAACCTTTGACTTCTGTAGTAATCAGATTCGTGGCTGTGTGTGTATCTGTGTATTTAATCACCCTGGTCACAAAGTGAAGAAATAATGGACCGTGCAGGGAAGGCAAAATGTTACCTCTACCCTCTTAGGGTTTTTGGCTGGGCCTGAGAACGGAACAGATTAACAGGAGAAGAGCAAACACATGTATTTAATGTAAGTTTTACATCACATGAAAGCCCCTATAATTACAGGAAGACCTGAATATGCAGTCAGAGTTGAACACTCATATACTGAATTGGGCAAAGAGTCATACATTGTTAAAAGGTGAAAAAGTAAAGGGGCTTGGGCTAGGGTTGCTGGTGGAATGGCAAAGTGATGAGGAAGGTGAGGGTTAGTTTAACAAGCTTTTTTGGTACAGATTCCTTGGCCGCAACATCATCCCATTCTATCTTTGATTTTAAGAATATTCTTTATTCCTGGTATAGATAAGACTTTTTTTATATGGGAGGCTTATTTTGTTTTTCAAGAAGAAAAGGGGAAGGGTCAGAATACTCGTCTTATACCTGCTATTGTCTAAAGACATTAAAGGCATTAAAATGCCTCTTGCTCAAAATAATCCTTATGCCAAAGTGGCGTGTTTTGGGCAGAGGGTTGGGGGGCTTATCCTGCTGCCCTCCAGCAGTGTGGACAGAATTGATGCAGAGGGAAAATGTTAGCTCAGACAAGCAGTAGTTTAGCTCAGATAATGATGATGGTGTTAGAAATATGGGGAAAATGAGACATTGAAAAGGAAGTAAATCAAAGGACTTGGCAACTGGTTAGACATGAGCAGCAACATGCAGGGGGTGGGGGGTGATGATTAAGAGACTGCTACAGACAGACAAATAAGGAGGACCAAGTGGGAAGAAGATCAAGATTTACCTTGAGATTGGGAGTGCCTTTGAGACAGTGATCTAACCAGGAATATGCAGAGAGCAGTTGGATATACAATCATGGACTCAGAAAATGGATCTGGATAAGAGGTATACCTTTGGGACATTTAGCCTCACTGGAAGAATGAAAGTGCCTCCAACCCCTTGATATAGTTTTACAATGAAAAGAGCAGAGAGCATAGAATAGAGATTTAGGGAGCACACCTGCCTCGGGGGACTATAAAAGGTTGAGGGAGGCAAAATGCACTGATAAACCACCATTGGCATTAAACTAACGGTCTAGACTAATGGCTGAATCATGGTGTCAGTAATCACTAGTAACAATGCTGTGGAGTATGTGGCAGGTACCACACCAAGTGCTGCTTTTTTCTTAATTCCGCTCTGATGCTTGGGATGCCTCCTTGCTGCCTCGCTGCGGGGCGGGCCACTCCCGACTCATGCAGGCTGAGGCAGACCTCAGCGGGCATCGGATGAATTCGCTCCTTTGACCACTAGAGGGTGATGTGGATCTTCCTATAAAATATCTGCCACTCATCCAGTGTGGACTCGGAGCTTCACCAGATATTTCAGATGAGGTGCTTAGGTGCTGATTGACCGAAAAAATTGCAGATATCCTGGGAGGCCAATTGGTCTTTAAAATGGCAGGACCTAATCTTAACATTTTGTAAAACCCTTAGCGTTTACCCATATCTGACACCTGTAGTCGTGTGATTTCTATATAATTGATAAACACATAAATGAATAATGCCATGGTTTCTATTCAACATTGTGCTGAATTTGCAACCAGTGAAACAAGGGGAAAAAGTTGAAAATGAGAAAGGAAAGAAAAATAAATAAGTATTGGAGCATGACAAGCTTAGTTATAGAGATTCAAAAGGGTCTAAAGAAGCAATGCATTATCAATAACAAAATGTAGTAAGTTTACTGAATTTAACATAAATATAAAACATTATTTTATTTTCACATACTAGAAGCAGTTAGGATGTTTCTTAACAAGGGAGACAATTTACAAATAATATAAAATAAAAAATAAACACCTAAGAACAAATTATTAGAAGATTAGCAAAGACTATCATGCAGAAAATTATTAAAATTTTAGGGGAATGAGTGTTGGGCACAGTGGCTCACGCCTGTAATCCCAGCACTTTGGGATGCTGAGGCGGGCAGATCATGAGGTCAGGAGTTCAAGATCACCTGGCCAACATGGTAAAACCCCGTCTCTACTAAAAACACAAAAAATTAGCCGGATGCGGTGGCGGGTGCCTGTAATCCCAGCTATTTGGGAGGCTGAGGCAGGAGAATTGCTGGAACCCGGGAGGCGGAGGTTGCAGTGAGCTGAGATCACACCATTGCACTCCAGGCTGGGCAACAGAGTGAAACTCCATTAAAAAAAAAAAAAAAAAAAAAAAAAGTTTGAAATAAGTAAATATATACAATATGATCATGAAAAAGTGAATCCAATAGTAAGGTTATTTCAATTTCTGCAGTGTTATCTATATATTCAATACCACAGTAGTCAAACTACAAAAGATTTATTTTATGAAATTTGGCAAATAATCTACAACTAAGTGAAAAACAAAAATAAGCAATATTTAAGAAGTATAAAAAGTTACGTGAATTGCTCTATCAATTATCAAATTATGTTATTTAGGATAATGAAAGGAGCGTGATCAAACAGGCAAATGGAAAATAGAAAATGAAAAATGGGCCCATGAATATACAGGAATTTCACATATGACAGAGGTGTTATTGAAGCTATATGGAGCAATTATGTAATATACAAGTTATTCTGGAGCAGGTGGTTATCCATACAAGGAAAAATTAATTTAAAACTTACTTCACAATATATGCCAAAATAAATCACAAGTGGATTAAATGTTTAAATGCAAAATTCAGAATGTTAGGTGTTTTGGTAAATAATAAGGATTATATCTTCATGAACTTGGGCTATGGGAGATTTTTTTTTTATAAAGAACTAAAAAACATGTTTACCCCAAATAAAAGAACAATACATTCAGCTAGGTGCAGTGGCTCAAGCCTGTAATCCCAGCACTTTGGGAGGCCGAGACGGGTGGATCACGAGGTCAGGAGATCAAGACCATCCTGGCTAACACGGTGAAACCCCGTCTCTACTAAAAAATATAAAAAACTAGCCGGGCGAGGTGGCGGGTGCCTGTAGTCCCAGCTACTCGGGAGACTGAGGCAGGAGAATGGCGTGAACCCAGGAGGGGAGCTTGCAGTGAGCTGAGATCCAGCCACTGCCCTCCAGCCTGGGTGACAGAGTGAGACTCCGTCTCAGAAAAAAAAAAAAAAAGAATAATACATTCTATTAAATGAAGAAATCCAACAAAAAGTAGCACAAAGAGAGTAAAGACATACACCACAAATTGGAAAGATATTAGCAACACACATAGCTGACAAAGGTTGGGTATCCAATCCAGAGTCTATTAAGAACTGTTATAAATAAATAATAGTTAATCAACCAAAAAGAAATATGGACAAAGGGCAGTTTACAGGCAACACTGGTGGCCTATAATATGTAAAATATATTCAACCTTCTTAGCAACCAGAAAGAAGCAAACTAAAACTAAAATATTGTGCCATGAGATAATTTTAACATACTAGACCGGCAAAATGAAAAGTATATGAAATAGCAACCGCAGTCTTAGATGTGGAACATTTGAACACACTCATGAGCTATTGGTGGGATCATTTATTTGGCTTAATCACTTTGGAAAGCATTTTGCTATGTTATGTTATGTCAAGTTGACATGTTGCCTTGAAGACTCAGTCTTTACACTGCCAGGTATGGCAAGAATCTTGCACCTAGGTAAGCAGAGACATGTTCAAGAATACAATACTGTTTGTAGCAGCACAACACCCAGGGAAAAATTAGTGTGCATTAATTCAAGAATGAATAATAAATTCTAGCCAATGAAGATAATGTAATACTAGATAGCAGTGAAAGTAAATTGTCTAGATTACGTGTCAACATATCACAGACCTAATGTTGAATGAAAAATTAACATTATAGAAAATATATAAACTAGCCTATTCCTCTTACATTTCAAAGACATGCAAAATTAAATACTACACAATTTACAGATTCTTGTGTAAATGCTAAAGACTATAATGAAAAGCAAGTGAATGACAAATTTAAACTTCAGGTTACACCTACCTGGGCATGACGGAGAAACAATGAGGAAACCTAAGAGTAACATGGACTAAGAAATTCTCAACAATAATCTAACTCTTGAGCTTATTGGTTCCGGCAAAGGTACTTCTATATATGCATTGCATATTTGTCGTAAATATTGTTCTGTATAGTTCAACATATAATTCTTTAATGTAACCGGGCGCGGTGGCTCATGCCTGTAATCCCAACGCTTTGGGAAGTTGAGGGGGGCGGATCACTGGAGGTCAGGAATTCAAGACCAGTCAGTGACATGGTGAAAGCCTGTCTGTACTAAAAATACAAAAAATTAGCCAGGTGTGGTTGCGGGGGCCTGTAATCCCAGCTACTCGGGAGGCTGAGGCAGGAGACTGCTTGAACCCAGGAGGTGAAGGCTGCAGTGGGCCGAGATCACACCACTGTACTCCAGCCTGGGAGGCAGAGCAAGATCCATCTTAAATAAATAGATAAATAGATAAATAAATACTTAATGTAAAGCAGCTGCTATGTGATTTTTATAAGTGTGTCAAAAGCTACTATTTGTAAAGATCAAGTTGTATGATTCCTCACCTGAGATGGAAGGGAGGAGGGGAAGAAGTAAAATCACAAGTTAAAAAACTAAACAGAGTATAAATTAGTTCAACCATTGTGGAAGACAGTGTGGCAATTCCTCAAGGATCTAGAACCAGAAATACCATTTGACCCAGCAATCCCATTACTGGGTATATATCCAAAGGATTATAAATCATTCTGTTATAAAGACACATGCACATGTATGTTTATTGCAGCACTATTCACAATAGCAAAGACTTGGAACCAACCCAAATGCCTATCAATGAAAGACTGGATAAAGAAAATGTGACACATATATTCCATGGAATACTATGCAGTCATAAAAAAAGGATGAGTTCATGTTCTTTGCAAGGACATAGATGAAGCTGGAAACCATCATTCTCAGCAAACTAACACAAGAACAGAAAACCAAACACCGCATGTTCTCACTCATAAGTGGGAGTTGAACAATGAGAACACGTGGACACAGGGAGGGGAACATCACACACGGGGCCTGTCAGCGGGTGGAGGGCTAGGGGAGGGAGAGCATTAGCAGAAATACCCAATGTAGATGATGGGTTGATGGGTGTGGCAAACCACCATGGCATGTGTATACCGATGTAACAAACCTGCACGTTCTGCACATGTACCCCAGAACTTAAAGCATAATAATTTTTTAAGGAAATAAATATATGAGTGATTTTACCTAAAAAAGTAGCAAAACAGTGAGTCACAGAAAAAAAAATTAAAAGCAGGCTGAAACTTACACTATTTTTAACAACTAAAACAAAGCCTGCCCTCCTACATTCTATGAAATTGAAACGACTCTGTCCCATGTACAGAGCATCTACGAAGGCTATGGGAAGTGACCACGTCACAAGCAGGTTGCTGACGGGGGCGGGGGGAGAGGGCGAGGAAGCCTTACAGAAAAAGCTACCACCACGATTTCTGTCTGAGCCAACCATGTGCCTCAGACTTCTCTGCTGTGTGGCCCTTTCTTTCTGGGGAGCAGGTAAGTCCCTGTTCTGAACTAGTTGAATTCCAGTTCCAAGACTCTCTCCTGTGGCTGCAGTATCAGCCTCCCTCCTGGGTTTTTTCTACAGCTGCTCTCTTCTTCCTCCACAGCCTCCACGGACACCAAGGTCACCCAGAGACCTAGACTTCTGGTCAAAGCAAACGAACAGAAAGCAAAGATCGATTGCGTTCCTGTAAAAGGACATAGTTATGTTTACTGGTATCGTAAGAAGCTGGACGAAGAGCTCAAGTTTTTGATTTACTTTCAGAATGAGGAAATTATTCAGAAAGCAGAAATAATCAATGAGCGATTTTCAGCCCAATGCCCCCAAAACTCACCCTGTACCTTGGAGATCCAGTCCACGGAGTCAGGGGACGCAGCACTGTATTTCTGTGCCAGCAGCAAAGCCACAGTGCCAAACGTTAGCCCTTCTTAGAACACAAACTCCTTATGGGCCCAGCTCAGGAAATAAGTGTGTAGCAGGTTGGTAGGTTCTATAATAACAGAAACCCAACTTGAAAGACAGTAAATCAGAAGGAAAAACTTGTAAATAACAGCTCTAAGTGAGCACAAACAAAGGGGGGTTATTCACTTGGTAAAGTTGTGAGTGCAGAAATAAGAATGACAAGCGGATCAACTATGTCTTTCAGGTAGACCCTGATCTTCTGACCCAGTACATTTCCTTGAACTAGAAACAAACTCTAAGGGCTTTTGGAATGCTTCGCACAGCTCTCCCTACCATAGAAGCTTAGTGGGAACCATTAGCAATCCCTGCCCACTGGGATGTTACAAGCACAAACTTTTATTTATTTATTTATTTTTATTTGTTTATTTTTATATTTATTTATTTATTTATTTATTTATTTATTTATTTTATTTTATTTTATTTTTTGAGGCGGAGTCTCGCTGTGTTGCCCAGGCTGGAGTGCGGTGGTGCGATCTCGGCTCACTGCAAGCTCCGCCTCCCGGGTTCACGCCATTCTCCTGCCTCAGCCTTCGGAGCAACTGGGACTACAGGCGCTTGCCACCACGCCCGGCTAATTTTTTGTATTTCTTTTAGTAGAGACAGGGTTTCAGCATGTTAGCCAGGATGGTCTCCATCTCCTGACCTCGTGATCCGCCCGCCTCGGCCTCCCAAAGTGCTGGGATTACAGGCATGAGCCACCGTGTCTGGCCAACAATTGCAAACATTTTTAAAGCAACTCTATTGAGACATAAGATATATATGGAATATGAATGCAATAAACAAATGCAACCACTGCAATGAAACACACCCCCCTTTTAAGTGTACACTTCAACAAATTTTAACACATTTTTATACCCATGTAACCATGATGACAATCAAGACACAAAACATTTTCCTCATCTCAAAAGTCTGCCACATCTCTCTATTGAGGTCTTGTTATTTCTCTCAGCTTTGCTTTGTATTTTTTATTATACGGATCTTATACATATTTTCCTAAATTTTATTTTAATAAGATTATTATAAATGTACTCAATAAAAATATTTTCTGCCAAGATTTCACATCAGCCTAATTCAATTTCATCTTTACATTTTTTAATTGACATCTCTACCTCAGCATATTACATAAAAATACCTTCTCCAGAAATTGCATACGGTGTGGAGCAACCATATGTGAGCTCACAGCATCAGCCTCATTTACCATGTGAACCAATCAAGTGTTAGTCCCATTCTGTTTCCAGGTAAAATATACTCATTCACATATATAGGAAAAGCTGTGAAATTTCTTCAAGGTGTACTTTAAGAAGAGGTACATTTTGTTAATGAAAGCACACCTATGAGTTAAGATTAATTAAAGGGAATATTTTGCAGTTAAGCACATGATTTGGAATGAGGGATTTGGGTGTTGCAGCCCTGCGGGTCAAGCCTCTGAATTCCATTCTTGTTTCTCCCGTAGGCCACCTTCATCACGTCTATAGTTCTACAACACAGAGTGTCAGTAGTAGGGAAGGTTGTTCATGTGAGAACGGGGAATACTTGGGATTCTGCAGTTTCTGCTCAACTTTGCTGTGGACTTAAAATTGCTCCAAAAATACAATTCGCTAATTTAAAAATGGATACAAGTATTCAGATGGAGAATTACCATATTGGAGGCACGAAATGGGAACATACTGTTGAATCTGTTGCAATATAGGAAGGGTGTTAAACGACAAACTTTTTCATTATTTACTCCTTTATCTAGGAAATAGGACACTATTTAACATTGACTACAATGAGGATCTTAAATACAGTAGAACTGTCTAAATTCTATCAATAAGAATAATATATATAATACCAATATTGGGATCTGAGGTGTCTCAGAATTAGTAACACATAGTACTGTAGAGATAATTTTAAAACATAGTGTGGAGATAATTTTGTGATTCCATTTTAGGAATACTATTTCTGATTACATGGTTTCTTAGCATAAAACCTCACTCTTTCATGCAAGAGAGTATATACTATCATACTATGTCCCTGTAGTTTTCTATTCCAATAATCCTCCTCAGTAATAAAATATACATGATGATAATCATGATGATGATATGGATAATGATGAATATAACTGATAATGCAGACAGTATGTAGAAAGATAGATGATAGAATTTGTACCATGTTTCCAGGACTAGAATACAATCATGGTAAGTATAATATAATACCTGTTGTAATTGAAGTCTATAGACAGTCGAAAGAAGTAGTTTAGTTTTTTCCCTTGACACTTTGACAAATCTGCACACTACACGTATAGGCTAAGTATTTCTGAGGCTATGTGAACTTCCTAAAAAACATGTCCTGTCTGTGGATTCCAGCATAATGCATACTCTCTTCTAAGGAGAAGTTTTTAACCTGGGATCCATGGATCTCCAAGCAGTGCACAGATAAAATTCAGGGAATCCATAAATTTGAATGGGAAAATAGATCTTTATTTTAACTAATCTCCAACTGAAATATACCTTTCCTTTTATGATACAGTGAGTAAACCATAGTAGTTTTAGTAATACCAGTGACAAGATAAATAACAGAAATCACAGACATTTTGCTTATATGTTGCATAAATGACAGTTGATATAAAAGTCAGATATTTTCATATCACGTTACATGCAGTAAATATACCTTCATCACTATGTTGAAATCGTGACAGTTTTCAGATTTACTAGGTTAGATTTTAATGAAATTTAAAGGTGTTCCTATATTAATATATGAAAAATTTTAAAAATATTTTGATATCTACATTTCAAAATACTTGTTTTTCTATATTCTAGTTTACGCATTTAAAATGTTATTCTAAGATGGGGTCCTTAGGATTTACCAGTCTGACAAAGAGGTCCCTGGTACAATGTGAAGAACTCTTGGACACAGAAATAGATCCTCAACGCAGGCACGACTGACAACCTGAAGCCTAGTAAGCATTGGAAGCAGCCATGTTGCAAGCATTCTTTCTCAGAGTTTCACCCACACTGCTGCACCTCTTAATGCTTCTCACTTTAATTACTTTACATTGTCTCTCTCTCTCTCTCCTGCTCTTCTTTTTCCTCTCTCTCTGCCTTCTGTTTTTCTTCTAGGAGGGAGCAGCAACAACTTCTAAACTCCACCAGCTTGCAACCAAAAGTTTCATCATGAAAGCATCTTTTAATTGCAGATAACCTCCGAAATAGAACAATATTTGTCTACCAAAACAAAAGCATTCATTAAGAAATCATCTAGGATCCTATTTTTATTTACTAAAACTATTGGGAAGAACCTATGTTATACGATGAATTTACACTTATGCAAATTTCTACTCAGTGTTGGAAAACGATACTTTAGTCAGCTGGTACAACCCTATGACTGTACATGTCTGATTTCACTTGATACAGTATTGACTTCCTAACTTTCTGTGAATTAGAACTTTAGGTCCAGAAAGTAATAAGAGCACACACAAATATAGTGTTTCTTATGCACTAAGAACTATTCTAAATGCTTTATTTATGTAATGTTTATCACAGGTTTTGGGGTAGTTACTTATTATCTCAATTTTACAGATAAAGTCAAATTGAAGAGAGGCTCTGTTACTTTTCCAAGGTTACATAGCTGCTAAGTGGCAGAGACAGGACTAAAGCCCCTGCCGTCTCCCAAGTCCCTGCTCTAATCCACTGTCACTAGGGAAGGGGTGCATCAGACACTTTGCTATTCCTAAAATTACAGGAGTAGCCCCCACCCCACCTCTACCGTATTAATTATTCATAGTAAATACAGAGGGTGTAGAGAATCGGTTCTTAAAAAAAATAAAAATAAAAATAAACTTCCAAACCTCTTCTTGTGTTTAGTTGAGCACAGGTGCATAGCACCCTGTGTATGACTGACCAGGAAATGAGGGATTGGCTCTTCTGACCATGCAGGAAGGCACTTGTCCATTTAGAAGGGATATAAAAACTTCTATAAGCAGAAGAGGAGGTGCATGTGACTTGATGTCTCTAATTCTTAGTCTCACCATCTGCAAAATCAGCTGTGACAATCAGTCATCATGTAGCACTGACAAGTTCTTTATATTAAGCCCCAGGGAGGGGCTAGATCTCAACCCCTTCCCTTGGCCTCTCTCTCTCTCTCAGAGCCTGTGTCTGTAACTTCAGAGAGATTTCGTCGCTGCCACAGGCAGCTGGGTCTTCTCTGTTGTGTGACCCTGTGTCTCATGGGAGTAGGTGAGCTCAGCACACATCCGGTTGGTCAATTCCTATCCTGGGCTTGCCAGGCCCCTCCCTGGCCAGCACCTCCCTTCTGGGCATGATCTGCAGCCTTTATCTCTTGGACCTTGGATGCTGACATCTATCAGATGCCATGTACTAGTACTGGCAGGACCCAAAGCAAAATCTGAGACTGATCTATTACTCAAGGGTTGAAAAGGATATTCAGAGAGGAGACCTAACTGAAGGTTACAGTGTCTGCCGAGAGGAGAAGGGCCTGTTCCTTCTCATGGTGAAGTTGGCCCACCCCAGCCAAACAGCTTTGTACTTCTGTCCTGGGAGTGCACCACAGTGGAAGCGCAGCCATTGTCTCTCTGTGTGGAAATGTGTCCTAGTCCTACAGCCCCCACCGTATCCTCTAGCTTAATTTTTTCATTTTTAATATTTTCATGAGATTTTACTATGTCCTGTTACTTTTGGAAATACAAAAGATACAAAACTGAAAAGAAAATAGATCCTTTATCCAAGGAGCTAAGAGTCTAGCAAGAAAGTAATTACAATAGAATGGAAAATATAATATATAATACTATAATCCGAAGTCTTTTGGGAGCTTAAGGGAGGACATGCGCAATTCTGTCTGATTGAATCAGAGAGAGCAAAGAGGAAGTCACATTAGAACTTCACCAGATAGACCTGGTTCTGAATAGGGCATTCTGGGCAAAGAGAACAACTTTTGCAAAGGCATATTAAAGAGTGTGACACTTTGGGGAACCGTTTACAAAGACAAACAAGATGATCAATTTATATGAATCAAAAGAAATGGAATACATTTGAGGAAGTAGACAGAAAGGAGTTTCTGAAAAAGTTGAATTTTTGGTTCCACGAATATAATAAGTATGAAAGTCCTTTGTGGGCTGTTGCTCAAAAGAGAGAGCTGAAGCTTGATTGTCATCAGCAGACAAGCAAATGATACAATTTTGCAGTTTTCCTCATCTAACTTTGATCATTTACAAAGGGCACAATTTCAAACAATATGGAATCACATTAGCAGTGGCAGTTCCCATTTGGGGTAATCGGATTCAACTGTCTATGGAACAATCAGATAAAAACTAGAAGTAGGCAACTGCATAGATAAGACGTGAAAATGCGATACCATAAAGCTGGACTAGAGGTTGAGATTCTGCAGATTTCAGCATGTAAATAATTGAAATACGGGGACAGAAAATTCCCCCAAAATATAGATTTAGATCACAGAGATAAAACGCATGGAAATTAAGACTGTGGTATTCTGGTTCCTTATGGAGATTAAAGAAGCCTGAGAGTGAGGAGTGATTAGAACATGGGATGTAAAAACAGAAGAGGGAGAGAGTGAGAGTTTTGTTTTGTCTAGTATTTGACATTTCTAAGAAAATTAGGGAAAAAAATAAAGGTAACCTAGGCCGAAGAAGCCACAAATACTTCTTGGGTAACAAGGAATAGTCAGTAAAATGTTATATGTTAGTTTACTGAGGTGAACAGAACCTTTTCCATTGAGGTTTCTTTTGGGAAGGCATAAGACTCAGCTAAGATTCCAAGAAATCACCAAAGTAGGAAATGAAAAGCCTCCATGATTGAAGTTGCATGAGTCTGCCTACCAGTGGATAAAGGACAGGATAAAAGAATAGCTGCAAAGGATAAAAGAATAGCTGAGGCACTGAAGTAGAAGCTTCTAGTGAGAGGACTAAATCTAACAAACATGAAGAATTATTACAAAACCACAATAATAAAAGTGGTGTAATATAGGGGCACTGATATATAAATAGATCCAAGGGAAAAAATACACATACATAAACACACAGCAGTGGTACTGCAATAATCAAAGAATATATCTTTCAACAAATGCTGATGGGAAAATTGGGTATCTATACAAAGAAAAACAAGTGCAATCGGACACATCTCAATACATAGCCAAAATCAATCCCACCTATATTAAAAGCATAATTGTAATAAAATCACAAGGCTTCTAGAATACTGTATAAGAGCACATCTTCATGGCCTTAAAGAAGGGAAAGATTTCTTATTCCCTCAATCAGTAGGGAACAGATTGATAAAAATGGCTATATAAAAATTAAGATATTGAATTTATCAAAGTTAATTATATAAGAGTGACCGGATTGACTGTATAGTGACATATCACTAAATATATATATATATTTACACCAAACTAATATCTCTACCTATATTTATATATTTAAGAAAAGCTAGTATATATAATTTATTTTTTAAAAACCTACAAACTAATTTTTCTACAGATCAATGAGAAAAAGGTAAGTGTCAATAGAAAAAGTGAGTGAAAACCATAAGCACCTAGTAAAATCTCAGTGGTCATTAAACATGTAAATGTTGCTAAATTTAATAATCAGGGAAATAGAAATTGAGTCCTATGAAATATATATCCACAAGAATGGCTACGATGATAAAAAATAGTAATCTATTGAGTGTTGGCAAGGCAAAGTGTCAACAAGAACTCTCTGCATCACTGGCTAGAGTGTATATTGGTGGATCCACATTGGAAAACAATTTGGCATTATCTAGTAAAGTTCAAGATGTATGTACCCACTACCCATCAATTCCAATTCCACCCTTGAGAAAGGCTTTTCTAGAGAAACCCTTCTACAAAAATCAGAACAAGAATATTCACTGTAATACATCTGTAATAGCAAAAATGTATAAAATATCCAAATGTAACTTAACAGAAGAATAAATCCTGGTCATTATAAAGAAATTACACAGTAGTGAAATTCATGAACTAAAATTAAACACACAAACATGAATGAATTTCACAAATTTGAATGAAAAATTACACTGCAGAAGAAAAGTACAGTATTGTCTCATTTGTGTAAAGTTTGAAAGCATGTAAAACTAAACACTATTTTGTTTGCTTTTGTGCCTGTGTATTAAAATATAAAAGAGAATCAAATAATTACAAAAACAAACACCTCAATAGAGTTAGAGAACAGAGGCATGGAATCTGGGAAGAGAAATAAGAGCTTTCAAATGTTCTGGTAATATTTTATTTCCTGTGCCAAGTTGTTTTTTTAAGTGATCATTCTTTGGTATGTTATCAAGTTATCATCTATATATTCAAAGTCAGTTTTGTAATGTGGAGAAAACAACCTCACTGAACAATTAAACAAGTAAGGAGAAATCTATGGAAAGATATACATTAAGCTGTTAACATTTCTTACCTGAAATGAGGATGAGATGGAGGAAGAAAAAAGCAAAAAAAAAAAATCAACAAAAAATACACTATTTAAAATAAATAGTTACAGAGAGAAAAAGCAAAAAAGGGAGGTTATCTAAAAGAAACATTAGTAAATGAACAAGTTAAAATACACCAGAAAGAGCTAGAAGGTGAAGTATTTTTCAAAGCAGTGCCTAGTTTCAGAATCATAAAGATAGTAATTACAACAGAGGTATGTATTATACAAAAAGATAATTAGATAATTAATAGCCAGAAGGAATGTCCAGTCTTGAGTTAGAAACTGATGCTCAAATTAATGGCAAAGGACATTTTTAAAACAGCTGTGAAACTTTGCATAAAAACTAAATAGTAGATAAGACGAAAATGCATTGATGAGAAAGGATGGATGATCATTAACTGAAAAAAGCTTATCAAACAGAATTTCAAGAATACTGTTTATAAAAAATAATGTGTCTATATATCTGCACATTTATATATGGAGAGAGAGAGGGATCTAGAAAGACCCTCACTAAGGTGTTAAGTGATAATTGCTTTCTGGCAGTGGTATCATATTTTTATTTTGTTATTTTATTTTCTAACTTTCTAAAATATCAGTGCATTGCTTATATTAGCAAAAACAGACATAAAGTATTTTTAAATGAATACAAAATAACTTAGTTATATTTACTGAGTTAGGATAAAAGCTTTTTTCCCCGATACCGTAAAGTGTTTTTGCTCAGAAACATGAAGCAATAACATGATAATTATAAGTCTGCGGAGGGATCACATCAAGAAGGTGCAGAGAGGGCATAAAAAAGCCTCATCCCTTTGCAATGTCAGTGTGACCATGGGCACCAGGCTCCTCGGCTGTGCAGCCCTGTGTCTCCTGGCAGCAGGTGCGCCCCGAGCACAAAAGAAAAATCCTTGTCCTCGGCTTGCCAACCCCCAAATCCAAGCTTTTGTTTTGTTTTGTTTGTTAAGCTCTTTCCTGGACTCTTTCTACTGCATCTGTTTCTTTCTCTTACAGGCTGTTTTCATGCCGAAGTCACACAGACTCCAGGATATTTGGTCAAAGGAAAAGGACAGAAAACAAAGATGGATTGTACCCCCGAAAAAGGACATACTTATGTTTATTGGTACCAACAGAATCAGAATAAAGAGTTTACATTTTTGATTTCCTTTCAGAGTGAACAAGTTCTTCAAGAAACGGAGCTGCACAAGAAGCGGTTCTCATCTCAATGCCCCAAGAACCCACCTTGCAGCCTGGAAATCCCGTCCTCGGAACCAGGAGACACGGCACTGTATCTCTGTGCCAGCAGCCAATCCACAGCACTGAAATGTCAGTTCCTCTTAGCACACAAACTTGTCACAGGCCCAGCTCAGGAAGCAGGTGATGTATTAGGTTGGAAGGGAGTAATAGAAAGTAACTGTAGCCAGTTTAAGCCACAGTGGAATTTAACACAAGGATAAAGGGAGTTTAGCAAAAGTCAAGAGGCGATGGACAGACAGTTCTGAAAAGGCACACTAGGGCTGGGCTCTAGAATGACTCTCTCTCCAGCTCTGATTTTTCTTCAATTTTGGCTGCGGCATGCTTTTATCTCCCGTACACCGTCTCTTTCTCTCCAGGCCTCATGGTGAGAGTGAGATGGTCACTAAAGATTACAAATTCAATTGCCATCATTTCCCTACGCTGATAAACACCAGCCCAGCTCTTTCTAAGCCTGAGTTCAAAATCCCAGGAGAAAAAACCAGATCGGTCATGATCCAGCCATGAACCTTCTCATAGAGCACTCAGCAGTAGGCATGTATGTATGTATTTAAAATCACATAAATGTTACTTGTCCACTCGGCTCAAGCAAGGGAACTGCTCTGTTTTTCTATATGTACATTCGGTCTATTGCTTCTATATGATAGAGAATACTCATATCCATTTCTTCAGAAACACGTACCCAGATTTTCTCCAGTTTCCTGCCAGAATTGAAAATTCTTGTACAAATACCTTCATAGACTTGTATGATTGCTTTGAGGATTATATGCCCAGAGCAAGTCATGATTGCTGAGACATGGAATTCTATGCATATTTTATCTATTTAAATACCACCATGGGTTCTTCAGGATCACTGTATACATCTGCAATCCCACATAAAAGTAAATGGGGTGTTTTCCTACATCCTAATATCTCCTATAATCCTTATCCAGTAATCTAGATTGTTCTCAGTCTAGCAATGTAAAGAGATTCCAATCTCTTTCTCTCTCCACCCACCCCCATCCCCTCCCCACTCACCCACTGCCAGAATATCATCAGAGTTTACCATAAAGATACAGGTGACAATTTTTTTTAAACTAAATAAAACCAATAATTTAAAGGAATTGAGAGATTAGTTTATACTACTATAATAATAACTGGAAACAATCTAGAAAGCTGAATAATGTTCTCTCCCTCCTTTTCTTTCTGTTGCATTTTTCTAATTACTAATGAGTTTGAGCACTTCTTCATGTGATAGTGGTCCTGGATTTCTGTTCTCAAAATGGTCTATCCATATCCTCAGGCAAATTCTCTATTGAGAGTTCTATATTTTCCTCAACAATTTGTAGGAGGTCCTGAGATATACAAGATAATGGTCTCCTTTTTTGAAATGTTAGGCACTGGAAATATCACCACCCAATATGGCACCACTCCTGTCCCAGACTTCAAAGAATTAGTAGATGTGGGAGGAACCAGGTGGTCTCTTACCTTAGCAGGTGCATGCATGTTATCTCCATTATGTGAATGATACTTCTGTCTTTCACTTCCACTCTGCTGAATGCTCAACATTCTGTCTCTTCCATTATTACTCATGTCTTTAAGCAGCATAGAAAAGTTACCAGCCATGGCTGTCCCCAAACCACTATCACCCACTGATAACCCTTTCCATCCAGAACTGCTGAAAAAGTGCTTCACTCCATTTTGTTGTGCTTTTTCACAATCTGGGGTAAATTTGATTCAAATTAATTTGTATTGCTCTTTTCTAAGTGGGTTATACTGTCTGGTTATAGCAAAGGACAGAAAAATTTCACACATCGTTTTGGAAGACTTAATACTTGCCCACACATTATCTCTTTTAGGGCCAAATTCCAGCCACTGCAAACACCAATCTCCTTGAGCTCTTGATATGACAGTTAATCCATTTTGATTCCACAAATGCTTGCAGAGCAACTCCCATTCACTGAGACATAAAGGCATTGAGAAACTTTCAGCTACACTACATGGAATTTTGGTCTCTGGGGAAAGAGAGTAGAGTAAAAAGAACCTTAAAAATGTATTTCAAATAATGTGTATAAGGATGACAATACATAGATTACTTTCATGGAAAACATTAGAATATTATATTCTCTTTGGGAGTGATTTTTCAGTGAATAAATTAAAACAAATTCCTGAGGAAGTTTGGGGAAAAAAATAAATTTAGGAAAACGAATTTTAAATGATATTCTGAAAACCATCAGGGTTTACCATAAAGATAACAATCTTAAAAAATCAAACAAACAATTTAATAGTGAATGAGAATATGAACACAGAAAATTCATATGAATATGGAATGAAATATTAGTAAAAATGTGTTTGAGAACACTTACAAATGAATTTTGTTGTCCAATTTGATTACGAGTCTAGTCAAAGTGTTAGTCTTTTAAACTACTTATAATAGTGTCAGTTTGAGAATATACAACAAAACTTTAAAAATGCTTATTTTGAGAATTTGGCTTTAAATAAAAATAGATAGTTGTTACTGTACTTGTTCTATTGCCTTACACCACTATAAAAACTTGACAAAAATTGTAAGACAACTATTTTCAGACATCAGACAACAGGCAGTACAGGGTCACCATCACTGGGAAAGAGGAAACCTAGAAGGGGAATTTCACTATTGTCCTGAGACTCTGCCTTGGCATGATTTCTGGGCTGCAGCACAAGGACATGAAGCCCAAGCAGGGGGCAGCGATCTGTCCAGCAGAGGGAGGCAGAGATTGAGTTCAGAGCTATGGCCATGGCTGATAGTGATAGGGATGAGCTACTGAAGAGAAGCAAGCTATGCAGAATAAGACCTCCAAATGTTGTATGAGGTCCCCTCAAGTCTTTGGTCAAAAACTAAGCAGAAAGTGCATGGGAAACGCCTCCATAAGACCTGGCAGAGAGCAGTTGCTGGGTAGCTGTGAGAGGAATAGAGATTCTGACAGTCATATGAGCATGGGAGACATAAATCCTGACCGGGCAGGGCTGAGAGGGCTTGCTGAAACCCCTGGGAATGCAGCTGGTGCCACATAGGGGTCACATCTCAAGAGAAGGACTACCAAAGTCCTAGAGTAAACCACTCCAGAACTGCCCTAACAAAGCTCAGCAAGTCTCAAAAGGATCTCGTTGATCTGCCAATAAGTTCATTGCCTTTTGAAGAAAAATATCTCAGCACTCTCTAAATAAAAGCAAATATATATATACACACACACACATATATATATAATCTGTAGATATATGTGTCTGTGGAGAGATATGTATCTCTAGAGTGTCAACAATGTAGCATCTATAACTTCGATCTTGAAATGAAAAAATATTAGACATGGGAAGAACTAGGAAATGTTACACATGGGGAAAAAATAAACAATAAAAACTAATAAACCAACCCTGAAATAACACAAATGTTGGACATTTCAAATGAGAATTTTTGAGCAGTTATTATAGAAATATATTCAAGAATTTGGAGGAAAATATGGTCATGATTTAATCAACTGATGAAATTGATTAACCCATAGCAATCAAGACAAAAAGGGGAAAGACACAAATTACCATATCAATGATGAAGGAAAGCATATGTCTATAGATACAAAAGACATTAAAATAGTGACAGAATATTGTAAGTATATGCAATATATTATTCAACTTAGATGAAATGAAATTACTTGAATAACACCACCTACCAAAATGATTCAAAATGAAATAAGAAATGTAAAGAACTTCAAATGAAGGAAGCTAAATTTTTTATCAAAAACCCTCTCTCAAAGGAAACTCCAGACGCAAATTATTTCTTCATGAATTCCATTTTAAAATTAAGGAAAAAAGACTATCAATCTTACATAAACTTTTTCAGAAAATAGAAGAGGAAGAAACACTTCACAACACTTTTATAAACCCAGCAAAACCCTAATGCCAAAATCTGTCAAATGCATCTTTGCAGTATCTTTTATGGCTGTAAATGAAAGAAAACTTTTCACAATATATTAACAAATTAAATCCAAATATGTCTCAATAAAATACTGGCAAACTGAATCCAGCAGCACATCAAAAAGCTTATCCACCATGATCAAGTTGGCTTCACTCCCGGGATGCAAGGGTGGTTCAATGTATGCAAATCAATAAACATAATTCATCATATTAACAGATCTAAAGACAAAAACCACATGATTATCTCAATAGATGCAGAGAAGGCCTCCAATAAAATCCAACATCATGTTAAAATCTCTCAATAAACTAGATATTGAGGAACACACCTCAAAATAATAAGAGCTATTTGTGACAAACCCACAGCCAATATCATACTGAATGGGCAAAAGCTAGAAGCATTCCCCTTGAAAATGAACACAAGACAAGGATGCACTCTCTCATTACTCCTATTCAACATTACTATTGGAAGTTCTGGCCAGAGCAATCAGGCAGGAGAAAGAAATAAAAGGTATTCAAATAGGAAGGGAGAAAGTCAGATTGTCTTTGTTTGCAGATGACATAATCCTATATCTAGAAAACCCCGTTGTCTCAGCTCAAAAGCTTCTTAAACTGATAAGCAGCTTCGGCAAAATCTCAGGATACAAAATCAAAGTACAGAAGTCACAAGCATTTCAATACATAAACAACAGGCAAGCAGAGAGCAAAATCATGAATGAATTCCCATTCACAATTGCTACAAAGAGAATAAAATGCATAGGAACATAGCTAACAAAGGAAGTGAAGGACTTCTTCAAGAATAAGTACAAACCACTGCTCAAGGAAACCAGAGAGGACACAAACAAATGGAGAAAGATTTAATCCTCATGGATAGGAAGAATCAATATCATGAAAATGGCCATATAGAACATAGTAATTTATAGAGTCAATGCTATTCCCATTAAACTACCATTGACATTCTTCACAGAATTAGGAAAAACTACTTTAAAATTCATATGGAACCAAAAAAGAGTCCAAATAGCTAAGATAATCATAAGCAAAAAGAACAAAGCTGGAGGCATCATGCTACTGGACTTCAAACTATACTATAAGGTTACAATAACCAAAACAGCATAATACTGGTACAAAAACAGACACATAGACCAATGGAAGAGAGTAGAGAACTCAGAAATGATCACACATCTACACATCTGATCTTCGACAAACCGGACAAAAACAAGCAATGGGGAATGGATTCCCTATTTAATAAAAGGTGCGGGGAGAATTGGCTAACCATTTGCAGAAAATTGAAACTGGACCTCTTCCTCACACCTTATACAAAAACTAAATCAAGATGAATTAAAGACTTACATGTAAAACCTAAAACTATAAAAACCCTAGAATAAAATCTAGGTAATATCATTCAGGATATAGGCACAGACATAGATTTCATAATGAAATCGTCAAAAGCAATTATAACGAAAGCAAAAAATGACAAAGGGATCTAAAGAGTTTCTGCACAGCAGAAGAAATTATCATTATAGTGAACAGGAAACCTACAGAGTGGGAGAAAATTTTGTAGTCTATCCATCTGACAAAGGTCTAATAACCAGAATCTACAAGAAATTCAAACACATTTACAAGGAAAAAACAACCCCATTAAAAAGTGGGCAAAGGACATGAACAGACACTTCTCAAAAGAAGACATTCATGCGGCCAACAAACATACCAAAAAAAATCTCAACACCACTGATCATTAGAGAAATGCAAATCAAAACCACAATGAGATACCATCTCATACCAGTCAGATCAGCCATTATGAATATGCTGGCAAGGTTGTGGAGAAATAGGAATGCTTTTCCACAGGTGGTTAAAACCTAAATTAATTCAACCATTGTGGAAGACAGTGTGGTGCTTTCTCAAAGATCTAGAACCAGAAATATCATTTGACCCAGCAATCCCATTACTGGGTATATACCCAAAGAAATATAAATCATTCTATTACAAAGATACATGCATGCATATGTTCACTGCAGCACTATTA